CGGGATCGCAACAGTTGTCAAATTTTCAAATGCGTTAAGGCGAATCATATGAGAATCATCCTTACGGCTACAACAAATTGTTAGACCGTCTCTCCAAAAAGGCTATATATTCCAGCGATGTGTACAAGAGATGTACCACAGTGCAAGATCTTTTCAACGATCGTAGCTCTGATGAAGGAAAACCTAATTTGATTCAATTTTATGTATGTGTTAATTTAGATTTCATTTGGAGATGTCGGATGGCTTTTTATTAATGAATTGATTTGTTTCAAAAAAAAAATATGATTTGAATTTTTACATTTGTTGAGACAAAACTTTGATCATTAATATATTTAATTTTTATTATAAAAAGAGAGATTGTTATTAATCGAATTACATATAGAAGTAATATGATAACATTTATTTATTATATTGTATACTCTTTAAATATGTAAGTCAAAACTAATGTATGAATAGTGTAAAATCCAAACAATGCATTTTAAAAAACAAAGAAAGTATTCTATATATAATATACTCTGCAAGATTTATTTATATGAAACCCAAATTACATAGATAATCATACTTTGTATTTATTATATTTATACACAATTTTATTTACACGCAATTACGCAACCCTTTTATAAAGAAAATGATCCAAATTTAATTTTTTTTCCAACATTTATAAATTATTATGTCAGCTTATGAAAGAATTAATGGATTAATTACAAGTATTCTAAAACCAAAACAATTATGCAAAATCTAATGCATAACTAGGGTTATTCAAAGATTTTGCACAACAATAAAATTAAAGATTAAAAGGTAATGAGACAACATTACATTACCTTTATTTACAAGCATTTTAAATACCATTATGCTACTATTACTTTATTAGTACATTTTCACAACCTAGGAGCATAGATATCTCAACTTCAAAAGTACCATTGTAGGCAACTTTGATATTATCATCATCTATAGTACTTCGTACCATTTTATTACCAATGACACAATTCACAACTCAATAGTACTCAAGGATATTTCCTATGTACTGTAGAATTAAACCCACTTAATTGGAACTGTTTAAACAAAGCTTTGAACAAATACTTTGATGCCTCTCCTTTCATCTCCTCCTCTCTTCTAGGGTTTCTCCAAAATTTTGGCAGTTTAGGCCGGAAATAGTGTAATTTCTTCGAAAATTAGACCATTCCCGACCCTTTTCCTTTAATTTTATTTAGTTTTGCATTTTGAATTTCAATAAATCTACACAAGTAGTGTAGATATTCGTCCGTCTCCCTATGGTGGAGTCGTTAGTTTTTGTTAGTTTAGTTGTTTGTTTTTGTTTAGGGTTTGTTTGTGTATTAGGGTTATTAAAAAAAGTAATCATCTTTTGCCCTATTGTTAGTTCTTTGGTAAAAATTTGTTCGGGATCGCAACGATTGTTAAATTTTCAAATGCGCTCAGGCGAATCAGATAAGAATCATCCTTACGGCTACAACAAATCGTTAGACCGTCTCTCTGAAAAGGCTGTATATTCCAGCGATGAGCGATGTGTGCGAGAGATGTACCACAGTACAAGATCTTTTCAACAATCGTAACTCTAATGAAGGAAAACCTAATTTGATTCAATTTTATGTATTTGTTAATTTAGATTTCATTTTGTAGATGCAGGGTGACTTTTTATTAGTGAATTGATTTGTTTCAAAAAAAAAAAAACCCACTTAATTGGAGTTCTAGCTTCGCCAGTGCTCTAGATATGACTTTTCTATGCTACTAATTATTCAACTACCTTGAATAAAAAAAAAAGTATTCAACTACCTATACATAACAACACTATAATATACGAAGTAAAATACTTTATTGTCGTTCAGAGTTGGAGTAAAGCATAAATACAGTCCCTGAAGTTTCGTATAAAAGCCGTTTTAGTCCCTCTTTAACTTTTTTCACCAATTTAGTCCCTCAACCACCCACTTTAGAGTTTTTCAGCCAAAAGTTGAGGGACTTTGCTGACTAAGCAAAAGTTGAGGGACCTTGACTCATCAAAAAAGTTGAGGGATGTTGAGTCACCAAAAAGTTTAGGGTCTAGATGTCAGAATTTGTAATTTTTTTTTTTTCATGAATCTTCTTCTGCAAGCTTCATTTTTTTAAGGAGATGATTGACGACACGTGGCCCAATCGATGAGCAATCTAAAGGTAAATCATCATTACTCTCAATTGAACAAAAAAAATTAAAAAATTAAGCCGCTGTACTTTGGGAAACGTAAATCATCATTACTCTCAATTGGCGCGAGAAATCTAAAGGTTTCTGCCTTTTTATATACTCCGCATCTCACTAGATTCCCTGTCATCATCATTTCCATTTTCAGCTAAAAAAAAATTCGCCCTTCCTCGACGCCATTAATGTGGGAGTGTGCTTGCGAATCTTCAGCCAAGAAAGCGAAATTGGACCAGCTTGCATCACCAGCAGGTATATTCTTTGTTTTTGTCTTTTTCATCTTAAATTTGTCTGTAATGGTGTGTTTTACAGAGTATATTCTGGTTTTTTTTTGTTGTCATCGTCTTGTATTTGCTTGTGTTTGGTGTTGATTATCAAAATTGGGGTTTTTGTGGGTAGAAATTGTTGTCGATGGTTAGGATTTTGGTGTTTGTGAAACAGAGTAGGTTGTAAACCTGAGAAAGCCGGTGTCTAACTCCCTTAATTTGTTTAGGTATGGACGCCCTTTTCGATGCGCACCCAATTTTCAGCAACCCCGACTTGCTCGTCCTCCATGTCTTCCCCAAGCTTGATTGGGAGAGTCGGGACACTGTCAAGAAGGTTTGCAGTAAGTGGCGTCTGTGGTGGATGACACGCCACCTTGCCCGACTCAAACCCTTCTACGGACCCAGGGCGTCTGTCAATGAGTGGATTCTGAATGATCTCATCTACAACGATGGGAGGGACTTCCACGCCTGGATCCACAACGACATGACCGTCTACTTCGACGGCTTTCCACTCCTCTTTGGGAAGGAGGAGGAGTAGGCTGTTGTTGGGGGGTTGGGGGTGGGCTCTGTGCAGCTAGTTGGTTTTTGGTTTTAGGAGCTGCTTTGTTAAGGTTTTTTTATGATTTTTTAGGTTTAAGGTTAAGGTAGGTTTTTGCCATTGTCATAGCTTGAAATGTATGAAGGGTGGGTGAATGTGACATACATTATGGTTTTTTTTGGGTATGTCACTGCTATGACAATGTATGCAGTGCTGAATCAATTTCACTAGGCTTCATGTAGGGATATTGGATGATGTTAGTGTATGTAATGAAATGAAGCCTAGTGATTAATCTAATGTAAAGAAATATTTTGGAGTAATGAATGAAATGAATGATGTTGTTACTCTTACATTGATGTTTTTGCTATTTATCCTTATTTATTTTGCTTTGTTGATAATATATCATGCATGTTAAAGAATGTGTTCATGTGTTGGTAATGCCAGATTATGGACTTGAAACCATGTTTGGTTGTGCACCATGGTGGTGAATGGAAAATTGGTGAAGAATCTTTTTACATTGGTGGTAAAATTAATGTATATGAGGACATTCCTGAAAATGTTGATGCTGATTTTGTAAAGGGTTTAATTGATGGGTTGGGGTACACAGACATTTTTAAGATTCATTACTTAGATCCTAGGAAGGATTTCAACTCTGGAATTAGGTACCTGTCATTTGAAAAGAAAATTGTTGATCCATTCCTTAGTTTACTTTTACAGTACAAACTCATAAGAATATACACAGAGCACCAAGAACCTGAGAGGCCATTGTTTGGCAATTTAGGGAGAAGGGGTTTTTTTTTTTAGTTACCTAACTAGAGAGGATGGAGAAGATTATGAGGCTGATGATGAACAACCTGAGGAAGTGCAGGCAGGTGCAGGTAACAATTTGGATGGAGTTTATGACACTATTCCTAGGAAGGAGAAAAAGGGAGACATAGACTATGATAGTGAGGGTACTGATGTTGATGATGAAGAGGTTATGCAGGCTAGGTCTGAAATTGCTAAAGACAAGGACACTGTGATAGCATATGATGATGAGCTAAATATGTTAAGGAGGGTAGCTCAGGAGAGGGGGTTGAGTGAAATAGGGAGTGCCTTTGAGGGGTTTGATGATCTAGACAGCCCTGATGAGGATGAAGATGACAGTGATTGTGGGTATTTGGCTGCACCACCATCCCATAGGTATGACAAATCCAAAAAGAAAGAACTGGACATTGACAAAATTCATGCCTTTTACCCTGGACAGACTTTTGAGAACCAAACAACTTTCAAACAAGCTCTTAGGAACATGGCCATTACACAGGGCAGAAATTTCAATTTCTTTAAGAATGATAAGGTTAGAGTGGGAGCAGTTTGTGACCACAAGGAAAAAGGGTGTCCATGGAGAATTTGGGCTTCCTGGGATACCAAAAAAACTAAGTTCAGTGTCAAATCACATGTAAGTGAGCATACTTGTGGAAGATCATGTAAGGTTAGGAAAATGACACCAACTTGGATTGCACATCATTACCACAATCAATTTAAAGTCAACCCATACATGAGGCTACATGACCTGATGGAGACAGTGTGGTTAGAGTGGGGAATCAGGATCAATATTAGCGGCTAATTTATTAATTCAGAAAAAAAAATTCGATATTACCTTTTTTTTTGGAAAGAACAATATTAGCTTTTTTTTGATTGAAATATTAATAGGGTTGAAGTCCCTCAACTTTTTGCCATGTCAAAGTCCCTAAACTTTTTGGTGACTCAACATCCCTCAACTTTTTTGATGAGTCAAGGTCCCTCAACTTTTGCTTAGTCAGCAAAGTCCCTCAACTTTTGGCTGAAAAACACTAAAGTGGGTGGTTGAGGGACTAAATTGGTGAAAAAAAGTTAAAGAGGGACTAAAACTACTTTTATACGAAACTTCAGGAACTGTATTTATGCTTTACTCTTCAGAGTTGCCTATATCATTACCCATTTTATAATCGAAAAAAATGAACGTGTAATAATCCTCCATAAACGAGACAAATAAATTTTATTTTCTTGAAATTTCTACAAACCCCACGTCCTTTATATCCACTTTCTCTCTCTTCCTTTCTTCGATTCTTCTTCACCTGATTTTCGCAACACAAACGGTAAGAGAGAGAGTACAGAGATTACCTAATATTTCACAGAATTAGAGTACAGCCTTAAGCTCTCTCTTTCTAATCTACTTTTAAAATTATTTTTTTCAATTTTTTTGGGAATTTTTTCATGATTTTTTTGGAATTAATTTGTGGGTAAACTATGAATTTTTGCAGGTAAAAGTTAAAAATGGCAAGTGAAGTTGAGAAGAATGCTTCTGGACAAGAAGAAGTTGTTTCAATGGAGCTTCCTGCTCCATCTGGTTGGAAGAAACAGGTCTTTTTCTTTTCATTTTCTCACTTTTAATTTTTCTTCTGGTATTAAATTTCTTAATTCTTTGTACGAATTGGGTTTAAATTTGGTTAATTCGTGGTATTTTATGACATGGGTTTGTGTTTAATTTTATATTAATCGTGTTATTTGTAGGGAATTTTGTTTTTTGTAAGTTAGGGTTTGTATTTGGGGATTTCTTGCTGGTTTATTTTGATTAATATGCCCTTTTTAGCAAATGGGGGGAAAGGGTTTTTGGAGCAAAATATTTCAAATTATAGTTAAACTACCAGATTTTTTTTGTCTTTTAGGGTTTAGTGGGATTGTGGGAAGGCACTTACATATTTACTTTAATAAATTATTATTTTACTTGTTGCTTATAAACTTATTATTTTTTAAGCGATTAATGATTTATCTCCGCATTTTAATTTCAAGCATTTCTCTTTAAATGCAATTTTCAAAATGTAGTGTCATGTTTTTTTTTATAAAAATGCTGCTTTACCAATTGTTTATGTCCTTGTAAATTTTTAGCTGGTTTGAGAGAAGAGGGGGGGGGGTGGATTTGGGAAATCCGAACTGCAGATTCCGCAGAAAGCATTATGGGAATTGTCTTTTAACATTCGATTGCTATTCATTGTTGAAATATTCCCCACTGTTTATGAGAGTGACAACTGACGAGTGATTCATAAGTTGAATAACCTTTAACAATTGCTCCTCGATGTAAGCTAGTGTAGGGAAATTAGAAGTAGAAAGAAGACTGAGATCAGTGGGATGCTCTCTACAGGAAAAAATATTGCCAAAGATTTTTTGTATGCAATTTTATTTATTTTAATGTTTGAGCATTGACCTGGCTAGGTGAACCTTTTATACCATGACTTTGGTACAGGTAGTTGTGCAAGTCTAACTAGTTCTAATATCAACTTATTTGTAGCTTTGAACTTCACTGTGTGGTTGGCTTGGCTGTAAATTAGCAAATTAAGTTCCTAGGATTTTTAAATTTGATTAGTGGTATTATCATAAGAATACAATTTATTGATCTAAAGCTGGGTGAGGACTGAGGACATTGAAATGGAGGGTGTTTTAAGGAAATCCATGAAAGTGCCATTGCTAGTAGTTATTGCTAAATGGATTCCAGCTTGATTTGAGTGGATGTTACGGGAAAGCCTTGCACATGCTCCAATTAATTACTATTACTGAAGGTATTGTATTACAGAAGAGACAGTTCACTTAATAGGATGTTTGATGAATGCTTCAAGTATAAAATGTATGATACTATGATGAATGATGGATATTTGTAGAACAGAGGTGTCTAAGGATGTTTGCAAGGTTTGAGGTGACCTAGTGATGGAAATAGTCCAAAGAATTGCTGACTGGAGATGTTATATGAGTTTTCACATTAAAGATTTGTGGTTATGTTAAATTGGATGAGATGAAAAAGATCCATAGATATTAAGTTACTGTACACAAGTGCCTTTTTCTTTAGTTAGTCCATAGCTCTTCTACATGAACCATATGAGACCAAGACAATAAGGAGTTTTATGTTAATATGTTACACTTAGTTATTAACACATGATGGAGTATAATGTGTGTGCTGGGTGGTCAGTGTAAAATGATTATTGATATTTTTACGAGAGCTCGCTTGATAATGAGGCTGGAGATCGTGAGTTTCTTTGTCATGTGTTGACTAGGGTAGAGCAGATTCATGATAATAATCTTCAAGGATGAACCTGAAGGAGATAATTGATGGTTTGGCTGCATGGTATTGGTGATAGCTACTCTATCAGCAACTTCTCCATGATGCTTGAAGGGCTGTTTGATTCTTTATAACTCTGACTTCCATTTGGGGCCATATAAATGTTTAATAGGATTTTAAAATATAATACCTTTTTACTTTGTCTTTCCCTTCAATTTTATTGCCTGGGGTGGAATTTCTACATTTTGGACTCATAGCAGCCTTGAACTTTATTGCTCTGGTTCACACCTCAGACCATTTTAGGGAGGTGTGGCATCTGAAGCTCCTAATTTTTTGCACGCATCTCAATCAGGTATAATGACTCTAATATGTTTTGAGTAAAAAGAATCAATTCATGACCTCATACACACTTCTGTGTACTTGATCTTAGTCTGTCTGGCAGTTTTTGTTTTTGTTGTTTTTATTTTTTTAAGACATGTTAGGGTTTGGTTGATTTAGCTTGGTAGGGTTAAAGATGTGTTACCGCTAATGCAAAAGAGTAATTAGAGAGCAGTTTTGAAATTTTAAATCATGGTGTAACTAGGAATTCTGCACCTAGTGAGAGCATAATTATTGTTACAAAAGAATTGCTGTTTGGGCATGTGAGACTTTAACCTGAGGAAGGGTTGGGAAATGAGTTTTCAAAAGAAGTCTGGGGAAACCAAAGATGACTTGAATTAAGGGAGTTAAAGATATGATGAAATTGGGTTTGCGAAAGAATGAAGCATTGGATAGAATTGATTGGAGGAAGTGAATCTTTGTGGATGACCAAATGAGATAGTTTTTCATGTAACCAACCCATACAAGGCTTTGTTTTTTTTATTGTTGCTTACTGTTGTATTTCCTTTGAACCTAGATTTTTTATGGTTGAAGCGTTGATGAGATACCCGGGTTTATCAGAAGCTTTAGTAGGGATTCAGAGTTATATAACCTCAGAATTTGGTTGGCTTAGTACCTTTAAAATACATAAATATTGTTTGTTGGAGTAAATAACCTCGCCATATGTGTACATGTCTTTTTTCATCAAGAAGGATAGGCGTTGGAGGAGACAAGGTCTAATGTGTCATCACAGAAATGCTTATGTGTTGATGTTATTACTATAAGCGTTGAAACCCTGCAGTTGAGATTTCATGTGAAGTTTAGGTGATATTTAACATGCACAACTGATTCATTCATTCAATCTAGTATTAGTGTACTACATAGGAGTATGGGACAAATATCTTCCTAGAGGGACTATAGGGAAACCTTATATTCTTATGGTGTGCTCTTGTCATGAAATGCTTAAATTTTCTAGGCTGTTCGTGTATTACATAGTTTTACTTTATATGGCTGTAATACGGGTTTTTACCCTGCTAAGAGGTCTGGTTCTGCTGATCCTATGTATGAAGTTCTCCCAGGGAACATTGCAGAGCTCAGTGCAGAGCCAATTTTAGAGCTCCCCAAGTTGTTATATGAAATCAACACTTCCCTACTTTTGCTGAGGATCTGTTGAACTTATTATGGAAATGGTGCAGGTTCTGTTAAGCTGAGTATGACTTGTTTTGATAGAATTTGGTAAGTCCTCTACTATTTTCGTTTTACATACCAATTTTTCAAGGAAAAAGCATCTATATGGTGGTGATCACAATAGGAAAAGTCAATACGTATCACCTGTTCTGCTGTAGTGGAGTATACTGAAGATGCTTAACCTTAGTGGTTTGGATTCCTCCCTGTTCCCAAGGTCCCCCTTGCTGATTGCAGAATCCCTGGCTTGCTAAATTCTTGGACTTGATGATGAATGATTAGGATTTTGTTTCATGAACAGACATTTGATTGAATAGATATACATCCAAGTGCTTTCTTGTGATTAACACGCCATAAGGTCTGATACTTTTTTCTGGGAATTTGTTTTGACAAGTCTGCTTTGGGAATCTAGAGAAGTGTTTGTAAATTCCTTCCAAAGGGAGGATCTAGATGTCAAGAAAGTCTCCTATTATTGAGGCTGCTTGTTTGGAGCCTTTTCTTTGCTATTATACAATTAGCTGAATGTAATACCTAGATCAACACCTATATGACCTTTTGTCTAGGAAAGCAGACTTTTGGTCAACAGAAGTAACCCTTTTTTTTTTTTGGGTTTGCTAGAGTTAATGGAAGTTGAGGAAAGGACTTATCACTACATCTTCAGTTACTCTAAACTAAGGTCTCTTGTGGTTAGTTGTTGGAGGTTGTAGATCCTTTAGAGTTTACTAGGATGAGGATAATATGGCATACCCGGGCTTAATCTAGCACTATAGCTTATTAGCTTAATAGCAGACTTGCTATGCATGTCCACTGGAGAATCATTTTCAATCCAGGATTTTCTGCTCCTGTTCCAGTATATAATGTGGAAAATGTGACAAATGGATTGGGTGGGATTCCTTAACAATTTTTTGGATTTATATGTTGAGGTGTTGGCTTAACTTAGGCTTATAGGGATAGAATATGTAGCAAATATGTTTATATGACATGGCATGAGTGAAACTTTAAAGAGATTTTGGATCAGCAAATTTGAGGGAAATCTGATGACTAGTACGAGGAGAAAATACAATGGACATCATTAAGCTTGGGAGCTAAATATGTATTGTTTGTTTTTGTTCCTTTAGCTCTAAGGTGAAAATGCTTTATACTTTTGGGATGCATGGTGAAGATATTGCTGATATCCAGTTGGTAAGATATATATAAGGATTTGATCTTGTATGGCAATACATTTCTTGTTGTACAGCCAAGTTATATGCAGTTACTGACCTTATTAGGCCTTGTTCTCTTCACCTGATAATTACTGAACTTAAATTGTTTTTGCTGAAACTTACTGAAATTAATTTATTTGTAGCGGTTAAAATTTATTTTTATTGATTCGCTTATATATTTGTTGTACGAATATACTGATTTTTTTTATAACTTATGTTTATTGAATTGAACTTATTCTAATATTTTTACTAAACTTAAATTATTTGTACTAAATTTTATTGTTTTAAGGTGAAGAGATAGGGCCTTACTACTTCTAGTCTATCTTTTTATGAAATCTTGTTTTTCATGTTTAGTATAAATTCCCAAGGTAGATTTGCTTATTGTTCTCTGAAACTTCCCTTTTGATTTAGATTTACACAAACTTTTAAAAAAATCGGGTGTACAATAGTTATTGTACATCCATTTTAAATCTATCTTAAAGTGATCAAAAGTTACCCCTAAAATGAATAAAAGTTACCCTAATATGTATAAAAGTAACCCAATACAAATAAAAATAATCTACGTTTTATTGGTAAAGAATCACATTTTAAATGATTAAAATTCAATTATTAGTGATTGAAAGTAATTTTATCACCCTTATAAAACTTTTCTTGTTCGATTTATAAAAAAAAATCATATTATGTTCAAAGTTATCCAAAAAAAGGTAAAAAATTACCCTAAATTGGCTTAAAGTTACCCCTATATTGCTCGATGTACACTAATATTAGTGTAAACCGGATGTATGCAAAAGTTTTTGTTAGATTTATAGCGTGTGTTGAATTTGTAGATTTTTGTGGTCATCCCCTGACTGTGGATGCTATTTTCTCTTGGATTAGATGAAGTTTTAAATCTTTTAATATGGTAAGTTAGTGTCTTATTATGAAAGATTTGAAACAAATGATTCTTTTATGTTGGAAAATTTTAGGGTAAGGTACTATTGCTCTATGAATTGGCTTAGAGCCTTGTAAAGTTGTTCATGTTTGATCTTTGCTGTTTTGTTGAATCCCCAAAAACGATTGAAGCTTACGCAACCTAGCAGCTGGACACAAGCCAATAAAGTTCCTCGTATAGTCTGAAAAAAAAATCTTAACTCTGGAGGTTGGTCCTGAATCTTTTGATGGTACAGACAAGAGCTTTCGTAGTCAGCTTTTCTAGTATATATGAGATGCAGAAGTCACGTTTTGGGTAATAGCTGATTGTGTGCTCATACCTACAATTCTCACATGTTGTAAATCAGTGATATTTATGTTGTAAATCTTGTAATAGAAAGTACCTTTACGGCATAAATCAATCATAATTAGGTTTAGCTGGGCGTAGTTGGTTAACTGACCTAATTTAAATTCTTGCAAGGTAAGTGCTATTAGTCTACAACCACTTGCAGCTAGCTGCTTGGGACTCAATTCCCTTAAAGGCTTAAATTATCCATCAAGAAGGAATTCATAATGGGAAAAATATTTAGACTTGATTTCAAAATAGCTGTATGGTGGATATGAACAGACTTTGGATGTAAGAATACGCTGTTATTGATTTAAAGTCCTAAGGTGACAACCTATCTCATTTTCATTTCCTTATTGATATCATGTGGTGTTCAAGTCTTCATAGATCTACTGTTGTTATATAGCATATCTTTAGCATTCCCTTTAAATTGGCTCTGATTAAAATTTATTTCCTTATTGATATCATGTGGCGTTCAAGTCTTCATATATCTACTGTTATATCGCTTATCTTTAGCATTCCTTTTAAATTGGCTCTGATTAAAATTTGAAGCTGTTGGTTGAACAAGCTTTAATAGCCTTGAGGGGAGTGGGATTGCAAAACCTTACACTTTGTTTGTATAGAAAGAAATGGAAGGAAAAGAAGAGCAGGGAAAGGGAGGGAGACAAATTCTCTTGTTCGGGTTAAAGATTGGGGGAAGGAAGGGGAAGGAGAGGGAGGGGTCCATTTTCCATCTCTCCTTAATAAGCATAATCCCTCCAAAATTGGAGAGATTTGGAGGGAAAATGGAGCTTACCTCCCCCTCCCTTTCTTTTCCCTTCCCTTCCCTTCCTCCTTTCCCCTCCCCCCCCCCCCCCCTTTCTTTCTTTCCTTCTTTGTTATCCAAACAAAGCGTCAGTTCCTCTGACCTTTCTTGCTGAACCAATGAGGTCAAAATTTGGGTTCTCTGCATTCATCTAATCTGTTGACGCCTCGAATCTTGATGCCTCTCTACCATCTTTACTTTCTTTTAATGACTATGTTATGTCTGGCACACCTTTATTCACTGTCTTCCTTTGTTTTTTTTTTTTGTTGTGTGTGTGTGTGTGTGTGTGTGTGTGTCTGTGTGTGTGTGTGTGTGTGGCTCAGTGGATACACATTTGGCTGTGACTACTTGAAACTTAGTTCTGCTACTTCAAGTTTGACCAAGCACTTTTTGAGGCACATGGAAGTATTGAAACACAAGTAATTAGTGGGTATCTTTAGTGATGTCTAATAGGCTTACCATGGGTTCATTTTAAGCCATTATGATATAAGGATTATAATCTGTGGATCCTGTTACTAGATGTTGGGTATGTGGTGGTGAGCTTGTAACGTTGTATAGGTGCCATTGCCTGAAAACAACTGGGAGTGTTGTAAATTGAAAGTAGCTGACTTTGCTTCTTGATAGTATCCTTATGATCTTTGCTGATGGTACTGATGAATGAATGGTCTAATCTAGCTTACTAAATAATTGTTTGGTTGGGGTTTTGTGATCATGCTTTTTAACTGGGAGAACAACATCAACTGTGACAAAGTATCTCTGATTTGTCTTCTCCATTTGTAAGCTTTGAAGCTAGAGTTATGCAAACAGACTCCTTTCCTTTTAAATAACGTATTGGTTTCATTTATGCACCTCATTAGAGTAGAATATACTTACTGCTGTGTAGTTTGGCCATTAGTGAGAGCTTGAAATGTGGTAATTATATGTAGTGTGTGTTTGACAAAGGATAACCTCAATACTTGCTTAGGCTTACTGCATCACTGCAAAAAGAGCATACATAGTTCTCCCTGATTGGTTATCTATCAGTGCTAGGATGAGTCTATTGTTAGGATTAAGTCATCATCATGTTGCTGGTTTAATAAATACTTGTTTGATTTTGTCCTCAAGAAAACAACTTTTGCTGTTTTCTTGGATACAATCTTAACTCATATAATTAGCCCTGCAAGTGCAGCACTTAGTAGGGTAGCATTTTTATAAATCTCATGGAATATTGATGTCAAAGCTTTTTTGTTTTTGAAGGAAACTGAATGTTTATGTTTTTTTATATATTTAAAAAAAAAAAAAAAATTCGCGTCTGTTGGATGAACTTTTTTTGGAAGTAAAAGAGAAAATTTTGATTGCTTCGTTTTGTACTAGTACTCCCTGCGTATCACAAAAGTTAGTATGGTTTTATTTTTTAAATTCTCCAAAATAACTCAACTCACATTTTATGGTGTTCTTCCTCTTATTACTCACTTTTTCTTATTTTATTTATCCAAACATTCTCTCATTTTTCGCTCTACCTACTTCAATATCTTTACTCGTCTATGTTAATGATTCTTGATCTATGTGTCAAAAGTGACCATGCAAGTATTTGTGGGATAGAGGAAGTACATCAAATGTAAACTACTTTTTTTCCTCTTTTGTTTTCCCCACTTCTGCTTCTGTGTTTCACTTTTTGCACTTTATATGTGATTTCCTTGTGGATTTCCTGTTCTGAATCTTGTAATGTGATGAGGTGTTTGCAGTTCTTCCCTAAAAGAGGAGGCACCCCTAGGAAGAACGAGATTGTATTTACTGCTCCAACAGGGGAGGAAATTCACAGCCAAAGGCAGCTGCAGCAATACCTGAAATCTCATCCTGGTGGTCCACCAGCATCTGAATTTGATTGGGGCACTGGTGAGACGCCTAGAAGATCAGCTAGAATTAGTGAGAAAGTAAAAGCTTCTCCTACTACTCCTGAAAGTGATACCCCCAAGAAGAGAAGCAGGAAATCATCTGCTTCTAAGATGGATAGCAAGGATGGTGAAGCGACAGCTGAAGAAACTAAGACGGAAGAGATCCAAATGGATGATGCTGAAAAGATAGAGAAAAAAGAGACAGACGAGGGAGCCAATAAAGATGTCGAGATGCAGGAAATTGGAAAGACTGAGACAGGTGGGGCTGAGGTTGAAGCTGAAAAGGAAGTTGCAAAAGAAAACCAACCCGAGAACAAAGATGTGACTTCTGAGACCACGGAGGCTGTTCCTGAGCCTGAGGGTGAGACTGCAGTGCCTGTAGCTGAGGATGAGAAATGTGCAGAAACTGAGAAGCTAAATACAAACAAAAGTGAGGGTGATAAGACCTCCATTGAAGATGCAGAGAAGCAAGGCCCACTAGAGCCAGCTGGGAAGCAGGATAGTTTGCAAGAACAGGTAAAAGAAGATGCTGTGATTCAAGATCCAAAAGAGAGTGAGGGAGATAAGGCCGCCATTGAAGATGCGGATTTAGAAGCAGGGAAGCAAGGCCCACAAGAGCCAGCTGAGAAGCAAGAAGGTTTGCTGGAACAGGTGAAAGAAGATGCTGAAGAAGGCAAGAAAGATGCAGCAGCTGATCCAGATGCAAGGAATATTGAGTATAAAATTGAAGCGGATCCTTCTCAAGTAACTACTGTTGTAGAGAACACAGTTGGAGGAGATAATACTAAAGCTGCAGAGCAACCACATTCTGAGAAACAGGACAGTATGCCAGAACAGGTGAAGCCTGAAGCTGATGTCAATATTGCTGCCAAAGACAATGGAACAGCTGCTCCAGAACCCATAGAACCAAAGGGAAAAGATTCCGTGGAGGGTGACATAAACAAGAAGGTATTGGAGGTGATCGAGAATGGAAGCCAGGCAGGCGAGGCTAGGTCTTGAGTCTTGATTCTCGCTAATCTTATTGTCATCTTCCTGTTGAGTCGTCTCTTTTTGAGATCTACAGGGCTCTCTGAATGACTGTTGTAGCATTGTTGTTTATGGTAGAAACTGATTTGTTGTTTATGGTAGATTCTGATTTGTTGTTAGTCAAGATACCCCTGTACACAGTTGTAGATTAGGCCACAGAGGTCTTGACCTAGCCTGTGATTAGGGGGAAAAATTTGTAGCTCTTGTAGAGATCTGTCTGTAACGTTTTCCTGTCAGATTATTGCTTCTGTTATAACTTAACAACCATTATATGTAATGTATGAAGCTACACTTATATGTACTGTTAAATAATTCTATATCCTTGTAACACTTGAATAACGTGGCTCTATCAGCTGTTTGCAGCCGATCATTTGATTGAAGCGATAGAAATCACTTTGAATTATAACAGATGCTCTTTAAACCGTGATATAAGCTTGAAAATGCCGAATTTCAACAAAGGTGTGACTAATTATGATGAATAGTTACATGTAAAATGAATGCTAATTCTTGGCCTCAAGTATGGAAAAATTCAGATACTCCGTAGAAAAAATGATGCCGATCTAGTGGGTCTTTACAAATTATGAGTAGAAAGTATGAAATCTACACCAAAACAGGGAAGTGGATACAACTCTTGCTTAAGAATAAGGCGGGTGCAGTTAGAATCAGAAAGTCTCTTTCAAAGCCCCTTGAGAACTCCATCAAGTCCTGTCAGTGCAGTCCATTTCTCAAACGCACTAGCTGAAGATACAAACGCGATCTTAGATGATTCAACATCTTTCTGGGCAACTACAAGTTACGAAGAAATATCAGTATGAGATGTTGTAATGCAGAGAAAGTAAGCTTAGAGAGTCTTCCAGCCATACCAGATGTTATCAGCTTTGAAATTGAGGTGTTGAACATATCCACTTCTTCCTTTTCCTCAGGGTCCGAGCTTAGCTGTTAGGGGAGTGTTTTTAGTTGGTTCAAAAGCAATAAAAATTGACTGAGAGTTCTGCAGATCAATGGAAAATTTGAATCCGACAATAATTAGTAAGAATAAAGACTCAGGAACAGACCTTGGCGAAGGCTGAATTAGCCTTCTTAATCCAATCAGTGTCAGTGCTAGCACCAAGAACTGAACTAGCAGCTTTCAGATCATTGCTATCTATAGCTTGACCTACCTCGCTCAACTTGTACACGACATCTTGCAGGTACCCTGATGGTCTAGGAAATCAGTTGTACAGAAAGAAAGAAAACATATTGTATAAGCATAATACTGAAATGTACATTAACCAACTAGGGTCACAGACTCACAGTACTGCAGAGCTCAGGAAGACTAATGGGCAGTAAAAAGATGCAACTGCACATAAGTTCGATACAAACATACCCTAATGCTTTAAATTCTTCGCTTACTGTTAAGGAGGACTTTTATACAAAACTATAAGGAGTAATTCCTCAACAAAAATATAAATGAAAAAGGTGCGAGATATTTAGCAGTTCAAACATAATTCCCCTTTAATTCACTGGATTATTCGTGTGCTTTCAGCAGTAAATCGTAGTAGAATTAAAGTACACCTTATATAATGTAACCAAGCACAATGAAACACAGACACAAGTGTACAATCCAACCAATTAGGCTCAACAAAAGGAAAACAATCACAAGCTCACAACCTTTAAGGCCTAGTTCTGATTTACTGAATTGAGTTGAGCTAAACCGAGCTGAGCTGAGCTGAGCTGAACTGAACTGTTTATGAAAGAAGGAAATTAGGAATTGAACTGAACTCGACTGAATTGAAATTAAGCTGAAGAGAACAAGTCCTTAATCTAGTGAATTTCGTCGATGTCATAACTCAGAACCTTTGTAACTATGCTACTCGGATTTTTCACAATCCATGTGATCATTCAGAAATAGCACAGCACTAGGAAATGCTAGGCATATCTGTTCGAGACACTATTATATGGTATTGGAGGTAACAGTTTTGGAGTCTGAGTAACATAAAAATGTCAGAACCAGTTGAAAAACTTGAGCAATAATTATGTTCCCTAATTTGGTTTCAAAAAAGCTGAGTCCTTAAAATTATCTTCTCTAAGATAGCATATAATAATTTCCATGAATTGCATTCAACCTAGTGTCTAATCACTAATCACTTAATCAGCACTATACAACAGATAACATCTCTGAGTTTCAGCATGACAGCAGATACAAGTAGGTAAAGTTCAATTCTGTTATTAACTATGTTCGAGTGTGGAGGATCCAACACGGGTACTGTCATAAAATACCGATTTTATTCAAAAAACTCGAAAAATAAGGGGAAACAAAAAAAAACCTTTTTCCTTAGTGGATGAGTTAATAACTCCTTGTTTTTCAAGCCTCTTCTTCCTATCCTTCTTAACCTTCTCCAAGAGCTCTAAATCATCCTCAGCTTCCAATGGCGCCGCTTCGGCGAGTGGCACAGCTTTTCCTGCTAATGGTAAAAGAAATGCAGAAGATAAAGACAGGGCAAAGCTTCTTTTACTAAGACATGGAATTGATGATGATGATAAAATGGGTGATTCTGATTTACAAAAGGGTACTAATAAATTAAAATGCTTGTTTTTTTCAAGGCAAAATAATGAATTTGATGATGAAATTGAAGTGGGTGTTAAAGAGTTGGATGATGAAAGATAATGGAATGTGTTAGCAGTTGACAGAAAAGCTGATGCTACTGCCATTTTTTTTTTTTCTCTTTAATTTCTTCTTTCACTTTATGTGTTTGTTAGTAGAATTGAATTGAGTAGTATGAATTTTTTTTCTTTTTTTTTTTTTTTTTTTTTTTGGTGGGAAAAATTTGTGAAGGAGGGGCAACATTGGACTTCAAAGAGATAAGATTTTGTTGGATATCTCTGATCCAATAGATATATTGGGGTCATTTTTGTAAAATTGGAAGGTCATTTTTGCAATTTTTTCTTATTAAAATTGATATAGTTACTATCCCTTCAAAAAAATATAGTATATATTGTTACTATTTTATTTTATATTATTGGATTTTTTTTACTCTGTGCTAATTAATACTACTAGCGATTTTTTTTTCAATAAATAAATAAACTAATACTAGTGAATTGCATGCAACATTTGAATTTTTAGCACCATATTGCTAGGTTTATCTGATTATATATTTTTCATTTTTTTTTATGTTTCATATAATTTAAACTCTTTGATGGTCGAAGTTTCAATATAAATAGTACTAATAGAGGTCAAAATTTCATAAATGGATTGAAAAAACGGAGAATTATCGTTATAAAAACCTAATAACCGCATGATTTCTCTATAATGATACTCTTGATTATTCTCATTTGCACACCTCGTTGTCTTTTATTGTTTTTACTACACTAATCTAGGCAATCCATACTTCATTTTCGCCTGCTTTGTTGTACTTCCACATTTGTGAGTTGTCCATCGTAGTGATCCCATTAACGCTTCCCAAGTAACATTAGTTTTCTAAGGTAAAGTGAACAAAGTCTAACTCCATATGTCAGACGTGGATGTGGCTAAAGAACTTCAATAAGTAGAAAGAGCTTGATATTGGTAGTGTTCAAACTTGACAATTTGACAAGGATATAATTGCGTCAAAAGGACTAGCCTATAGAAAGAAACAATAACATGATAAGCTTTGTGATATAAAGAAATGCTTGCAAAGAAAGTAAAGATTCCATCACAAACGTGTGTTGTAACTAGTGGCATATAAAAGGTCTTAATTATCAATTAAGATTTGGAGATTTATTAAACAAATAAAAAGAAACTTTCAAATTAATTTGATTATTATTATTATTAATTTTTTTTTTTTTTTTTGGGTAGTATGTAGTGAAAATGAAGGTTGGATATGTGCTTCTTTAGGAAGAGACAGCTCTTAGGTGTGACCTTTTTAGTCATGTAGATGTTGTGCATTATATGCAAAGATGCTCCTTTGATTTACTTAAAAAGCACAAGAAATATACTTTGGATGGTTGTATTTTATTATAAGATCTCTTTGAACTTTTTAATTATCATGGTATGTATCTTAACTTCTTCCAAATTAAAGCTTTTTCCAAATTTCCTATGAAGATGGACTTCAAAGAGGTTATTATTGTTAGTTATTGTTTGAGTGATCGATTTTAACATTTCTTATTATTAGTAAATATAGTTACATAGAGATGAAGGTGTTTAAATTAGAAAGAACGCAACGGATGGAGGAAGTATATAGAGTAATTAAAATGAGTGTGTTTATTTTCTTCTTTTGTAGGCAGTTATACGAGAGTTAATAGAGTAAACAAGATTAGACATACATTATATTCTAAGCTCATTAGTCTAATGTAGATATTCCATCCACTTATACTTAATTAAAAATTTTGTAGTTTAAAGTTAACATATCTTTAAGTTTTAAAGATTCGATTCTTCATTTGATTCCTAAATGTTGTATTTATTATTTAATAATCATTCCGTGTATACATAGCTAAAATAATTTAGTCAATAGTGTATGTACTACAAGTATAAATTAGTTTTCGTGCAATAGAAGTTTTGTTTTAATTTAGTGTAGTTGGTTTTGGTTAATCACATGAAGAAGTCTCCTTAATTAATCCACTTTAGTACACGTAATAACATATGATTAATTAGTAAGTATTTCTCTTAGCAAAGTAACATTATTGATTGTCCTATTATATATATGCAACGGAGTATATTTTTATAACTTTAATTATGAAAGTGATAGAAATTAAAATAAAATAACATGAAAAGGTTTTTAAAATGTTGGGTAAAAAAGTAAATCGTCATCTTGTTTCACAAAACTAAGGTTTTTTGTACATTAACAGCGTTGATAGCACTAAACATGAAATTGATGCTTTGGTGATTTCTTAAAAATCCAAAGGTGCACTAAAAGTTTCAATAAAATATAAGAGTGGTGCTTTAGAATCTTTGACGTTTTTTGCCTTTTGCATGCGTGGCTATACACTATTGTGTGTCATACTATTATGTTATAAAAGGGGTGTACACATAGGCATGTATGTACTATACGTTGATGTGAACGTTACATTAGCTTAGTAGATTAAAGTCGGGTGGTATTTACCACATTAGTAGATTAAGTCAGGAGGTGATATTCATTTTCATAGCATGAGAAGATTGAATTATCATCGGATTATTTGCCTTTTATGACTTTCTTTACACAATTTTTTTCTAATGGTAGTAAAATCAAATTCGTAATCAATTATTGGTTGTTATTTGATTCAGATCACCTGACTAATTTGATAATGTGAAATTAGATACATAAAAAGTTATGTACCAAACTATCAAACATACCATTGACCGTTCAATCATGTTCATAAAATTATAAAACTAATAG